CTTTGCTCCACTGCTTTCCTTGGGATGGGTCCATTGTTGTCTAGATTATTCTCTAACAACTGGAAACCGAGGACCCAGCATTCAGCCAGACAAAATCAGATAGGGTAAAACAGCTTATTGGCATGTACACTGTTGCAGGACATGGAGACACTAGTGATACAAGACTAAAGGTTAGTGACCAAAAAGATGCATTGGGACATGTTACAGTCACTGAAACTTTGGTCTCTAATGTTTAAAAATAATCTGGCACAAGTGACTGTTCTGACAGCTGATTTTATAGTCAGAGGACAGGTGGATCGGATGAAGGCTAATGAGAACAGGGCAGAGCTGCGCAGGAGTGTCGAAACGTGAACCATATGAACACTACTGCCATAATATGAAAAAATGTCCTTGATGGTGAAATATACAAAAAGCTGTGAAGTTTCAACCATACCATGACAACGGTTAACACCTGAGGTGAACCCCATGCTGTTTTAACTGGAGCCTTAAAGAATTGTACCTGCTTAGAAAAAGCAGGCTGAAAAAGTGAGGAAAATCTAATCTGTGCTGCTACCTTGTTCCCCTTTACATCTACCATGGGTCTGCAAGAGCAAATGATGGCTTCAGGAAGGAGGGCAGCTGGGTGGACCATGAGCTATTTCTCTACCAAAAGCTACTGTAGGAATAAAATGGTTAGGAGGGGAGAAGAGGGATGAAGCTGGACCAGTGCTGCGAGACATATATGGACCTTTTTTTTTTCTTTCTACACATGAAATTTAAGAGAAAGGAATTGGAAAGAGAGAAAAAAGGACAGGTGAACTATTTCCCCCAGTGGGAGAGGAAATGAGGTAAAGTGGAAAGGGCTAGCTCAGAATTGAGAAATGGACTAAACCATCCCCAGAGGGGGGACTGAAACTCCCAACTCTATGGGCTTCTATCTAAAATGTACCTAACATTGATTGATGATTTTTTTTGTGTGTGTTTACCCTGCCTACATTTTCCTTACTCTTCAGCACAGCTCAGGGCACTTTCTGCTTGTGTTCATTTTGTGTGTGTGTGTTTGTGTCTGCAAAGCCAAATCATCATGTGCCAGGCAATCCCCGCTCAACTGCCCTGACATTCCCAGGGAGCGGAAAACGTATCCTCAGCAACAATCGATAGTTCATCTGCCCCATCTGCAGTCCAAGGCAGCTCTATCTCCAGTGACTCCCTGCGCTATTAATTCTGTGTCCCACCGTTTCCTCACAGTGTTTCAGATTAAACGGCAGCACATCTACTGGAGTCCTTTGCTCACAGAAGGAGGAATAAAGAAAAACTGCGAAGGTTGGAGATCCAGAGGAGCTTTTTCAGTGTCTGCTAAAAGAAATACTGTCAATTTGAGCTTCAAGCCACATTGGGCTGCTTTACTCTATAGGGTTTTAGAAACACCAAATCAAAATCAATGAGACTTAGAAGAATTCAAGACGACAGCTTTCCATACTGTTTGATATAATAACAAAATAAGTTCAAGATTTAATTAATTTAAAAAACAGTATTGATCTCAGATGGGGAATTAAATGATATTGTCACATTTTTCTAATTTATAAGGAACACTTTTAATAAGTAATGTGATAATTAATTAGAATATGTTGATACCCATTCGGAATCAATTGAGAACTATTTATATCTCCCCAATAAATTAATTACACCCCTAATCAACACATTTTAGGAGTAAGTTTACTATGCCAAGAATGGTGCTAACTGCCATTGAACTACTGCAGCAATGTGAATGAGCCTGTCTTCCTATAATGGCTCAAGAACTTCAAAAATAGAATAAAGACAACTCTAAAGTTAGATATTTAATATAATGTACAGATAACCTAGAAGTAATAAGAAGCTTAAGACTTTCTTTTGCCATTGTTTTAACAGTGCACATTTAAAGCATACTGCTTCGATCTTTGATTTTAGATTATTAAGACTACCTCTAGAGTATAGAGTCATATATCTACTATTCATTTATGCTGTAATGAGACCCTTATGAAGTTACATAATTAAAGTTACATAAAAATAATACCAGATGTTGGTAAACTTCTAGATGTAGCTCACTATCTATGGTTATTTTTAATATAAGATGCGATAGACAGCTTCAGGATGCACTAATTCCTACCTAAAGACAATTTAGAGAGACCAGCTAACCTAACAGTCATGTTTCTGAGCTGTGGGAGGAAGCTGTGTTGTCACAAGTTAACCTACACATTTGCAGCTAGAACAGAAAAACTCCATTTAAAAAATACACTCCTGCTACAAAGTAGGATTGCTAACCACAGCTCTACCCTACTACATTCTTTGCTACAGGTAATAGTGATTAGCAGATTCCTATTTTACATTAAGGAAAAGTTTTAACTATTGACATCTGACCTCAGATTTTTGTGTTGTGTCTGTCTTCTAATGAATTGAGGGACACGCTTTTGGTGTTGTTGTTTTTTTTTTCTCAGGCATTTTTCCAATTTAGCTGTGTCCCCCATCTTCTCATATCTCTCACAGCAGGGATCAAAGCAGAAAAGCCTCTGGGGCAAACACATGCTGCTTCTACTTCACTCTTTCTGCCTTTAACAAAAAACAACACACACCGCCCTGCACTTTTAAAACAAAATTCACGACAAGCATGAGCTTTACAGACATAATCGTGAGTGCAAACAGCCTCATTTTACCTCTGGAAACATCCAGTGACTTGCTCTGTGTGGATTAGTCTCCTAAAGCATTCCCTTTGAAACTCTGCAGGCAGGGATTTCTTTTTAGGTGATCACTGGCCTAAGCAGCTGTTACATGCAGGATTAGCAGGTTCTGCCATTCACAAAGAATACAGTCTGTTTAAACTAGCTGGAGGGGAAGGAAAGCAGTCAGAGACAAGGGCAAAGGGAAGAGGGTGAGGTTATGACAGGCGGGAGAGGTGGCAAAGTCTTGGATTAATAAAGAGGAGGTGAGAAGAGGGAGAAAGGGAGGTGTTAGAGGAAAAATTGGTAGCAGATGATTAGAGAAGAGGAGGGAGATTTGCAGGAAAAATGGATGAGAGATGATCGAAGAGGAGCAGTGGAGAGGGACCGGGATGTGTGAAGAGAAGTGTGAAGGGCAAGAGCAAGGGAAGAGGCAGAGATTCCGAGAAGAGAAGCAGACAGCTTAAATGCATCTAATTTAGTGAGAACCAGACCTCCGCCAAGGAGGAAGCTTAGAGGGGAATGACAACGAAAGTGTCGTTCCCCTTCTGTTTTTGCTGCAGTTTTGTGTTTTGCTGTATAATATCATTCTGCTTCTCTCTCTTTTAGCGTGGAAGTGTGTCACCTTTGTAATTCTGCTGGTACAAGGTGTTTACAGCGAGGAAAGGTTGATGGGGCGATAACAGGCCAGGCTGCAGGGGTGGAAAGACATTTTTAAACAATCTCACTTGTCTCTTGTGCCTCTCACCTCTCTTGCTTCTGATTCATTCTTGTATGCCACATTTTCAGCCGTCTGTGATACCTGCTAATACAGTGCATGGAAAAAGTGTCAAACCCCTACAAAAGGATCTTTATTATGACTTTACTAAAACTCTAATGTATTTATTTGATTTTTCGCTGTTGTTTTTTGTTTTTTTGTTTTCATAGACCAACATGTAGTTGACCAACTTGTGATTCGGAAGTAGGGTTTAGTAAAGCGGCATGCCACTTTTCATATTTCCATTGTCAGTAATATATGACCAAAACCTATATCACAATATATTTCTTAATCTTGGAGGATATGATATAATTTCAATATCAGTGTAAAGAAAATAAAAGCGTCAATAAGACTTCAAAGAATTCCCACAACAGATACAATCTTATGACAGTTACAGTATTTGCCATGTTTACAAATCGCCTCCAATATAAATAAATATTTGCTTGAAGAAGCAAATCCGGTAAAACTACTTAAAACTCTCAAAGGTCAGTTGGTGACAAAAGCTATAATCATAGACTGTAATTTGTATTAAAATATCAGATATATCATTGTAATTGAACACAACACAATGATAAAGTGGTATTACTTATATTAAATTATTGTCCATACTTAATTTATTGTTATATCTTACTTTGTGTTGTTTTGCCACATAAAGTTCATATAAGAATATAAAAAATGTGTTTTTGTATAGCCAACACAATATTGAAAAGGTTATAAAAGCAATGTGTGGTCCTTCTTTTCTCTGCTGGTCTTTGCTATTGCGTTTTTCATCCTGACTTTTCCCTTTCAACTTTCAGGTTAGCTTCTTTAGGAGGGTGCATGGCAGCAGGGTGGGGGCAACTTTTTACTTTTCTTTGTTTCATGCATCATAGCGCATTTCAGCTGAAAAGTCAACACAGCCGGTACCCTCTGCCAGTGGTCCTTCATCTTCCACTGCTCTGTCACTCACCATGTTTTCCATCGCTCTGCTGTGCCCTGTGCCCCCCAATGCTTTCAGCCTATTCTACTGAAAAAGCACAGGACGGGGACATTCAAATAATCATGTTCACTCTGAGACTATCTTCAATATGCTGCCATGCTGAGAAGTGCAGTCAGACACATTGCATCTGCAGTTTCTTTGCATATTTATTTGTTTCCAGTAATAAAAGAACACACGCATATACATCAACATCTTTGCTCACTCTCAGTCATATTTTGTCCCTGTATTCTCACTTGGTGTTTTATTTATGGAGCATTGTGCCTATTTAAAGGGAAATTTAATTGAAAGCACGTGTTAATCTGATAATAGCATGGAGCAATGGAGCCCCAACACCGGTATCACCTTGGGTACGTAACACCTTGTGTTACATTGCTGCTTTATTTCATGCCTCAGAGTTCAGTGCTGTGTTGCCTAGTCATTGATACCATGCTGATTGGCAATCTAACACTTGATATGCAAGGTATGCACTCAGTTCTGATCTTGTTTTTTCTTGTTTGTCTTCTCCCTGCTCTTCCTTTTACCCATCTACATGCATTTTATCCTACCCCTCTACTTCTCTCTATCCTTCTTTATTCCACCTTTCTCTGTCTAGGATGGATATTACTCCCATCGGCCAAAGGAGAAAAGTAGAGTTGACAGCAACAATGAGAACTCAGTGCCCAAAGACTTTGAAACTATAGATAATAGCAACTTTGGTGCCCGTTCACACCGGCAATCCATAAGGGCCACCAGCAGTAAGCAGCGAGAACGTCTTCAGGGGAAGGCACACGTCCAGCAGCAAGCCTGGCATGACAGCTCCCCTAGACTGGGCCGCAGCTCCAATGAGATTTTGTCCATAGTTCACCAGTCACTGGAAATGGGAAACAATGCCTCCTATCCTGATGGCAATGGCATTATTGGAGGTCTGCAGCAGCACACTCGTGCCTCTCTGGCCCAACCTGCCCAGTCTCAGCACAGGCACCAGCATCCACACAGGAAGCAGGCAACTACAGCGACACTGGAGGTGACGTACGATCAGCCACCAAAGTGTGAGATTAGCGGCAAGGAAGCCATTTCTGCCCTGTCTAGAGCCAAGACCAAGGAGTGTAGACAACAGATTGCTGAGGTCTACTGTAGACACAAAGAGGGCCAGCTGATGCCTGATGCAGTAACTCGTTACTGCCCCATTGAAGGTAAATGCATTGTCCACAGTCATGGATTAATGTATTCATAAGTGGTACATTTTGAGTTTTTAATCAAGAATATTGGGTGATATGTTATATCAGATTGACCTAGACTGCTGTAGGTCAGGAGTACTGTAACAGCCTGCTCAAAGTAGCACACTGAAACACAGAATAGTTGCAACAGAAAGTTTGTTCTTTTTTTCTTTGGTATAGAAATTGCAATCATCTTTCAGTGTTATTGTTAAATCTTGATTGTGAAAAATCCTTAAAATAAAACCTTTGAGAAAATAAAACACCTTTAGACAAAAAATTAGGAGAGAAGTTCTTTGAAAAAAAATTTTGCACTCCTTGAATTTATAAAATTTCCCTTGAAGAAAAATTTTCCTGTAGAAATATTGGATTTAGTATTTACAAAAAATGAAGCTTGCTCCTGGTGTGCCATGTGATTTTGTTTGTTATGTCTCAGGGTGTGTATGTTTGTTGAAATTATGAAATGGGATGTGGGTGTCTGACTACAAGGGGTGATTGTCTTCACAGCTTTTGGAAAGTACACAAAGTTAACCTCTGGATTAGCTATCTTATTGGATTCTTCGAGGAAAAAGACAGACCAAAGCATCAAGACAGGATTGCATTTCATCTCTCTACCAAGAAATTAGGATAAGCTAAACACTGAATCAGTGTATTTTCTAAATAATTTTTTTTTCATAAAATGAAGAGCATTATGGAAAAAATGTATCATCCTCTTCAACAGATCATTCAATAACAGAGCCTCTAACATTCAGTTAGAAACTTTGCCAGAATTGCTATGAGACAGATTTCTACAGAAGTTCCTTTAAACCATCAACATCCACAGTAGAAATCCATTTCATATGACTAAGCAATATTTAAGTTCATTTGGAGATAAATACAGAGATTGATTGCATCATCGATGAGTTTTTGTCCAAGAAAGATGCCATTAAACATTGAGGCATTTGACCTGGACTGATCTCTATGGGAATAAAAAGTAGATGAACACTACAGGGTAAAATATGCTCTAAAACAGTGGCCCCCAAACTTTGTTGCGCCTTGGACCAGATTAATGTCAGACAAAATTTTCATGGACTGTTCTGTAACTATAATACTCACTGGTCATTATGGTAACAAAGTCCAGTAAAACAGTCTACAAACTACTCACAGCAGTGAATCCTTGGGATCCCTGAGCTTTTTGCATGAGACAGTTGGAGTATACAGTGGGAGGTTTCATGTAACCTACAGTCTCATGGTCTACTTCTCTCAAGAGTGAGTCAATTCCGCATGTAATAGAGTGAATCTGGCCATTTTTCAAAATAAAGTACCATTTAGACTAGGAAAAAAAATCTGCCGACAATAATAAAAGTAATTTTATTTGTACCAAATGACACATTGACCGTTATCGGGCTGGGGCCCAGGGTTTTTCTAACACTGCTCTAAATTAGTACATCTGAAATGGATTTCAGACAACTCAACAAAACCTGTCTTCGCTAATGAGAAAAACTGAAATAATACACAGAGAAATAGCTCCAATTTTGCTGTCAATTAATCTTTTTTTAGTAGGATACATGGCTAAATGCAGAAGCACCGATTCAGGATTGAATAGAAACACACAAAGTAGATAAAGTGAAAGGCTGCAGTTGTTCTTTTAATTAGGTTCTTACCTTTTAGAAAACAGTAGACATGGCTGATGGCTGAATTAGCTTTATCAATCTCCACATCTAGGAAAGAGATCCAGCTAAATTAATAAGGAAGGTGTACTTGCTTGAGAAAAAGGAATCATGTTAAAGTCATTTCCCCCTAATATAAATATCCATCCATCCATCCCTTTTCTTCCACTTACCCGGGGCCGGGTCGCAGAGGCAGAAGTCTAAGCAAAGATGCCCAGACTTCCCGTTCCAAGCACACTTCCTCCAGCTGCTCTGGGGGGACCCCAAGGCAACACCAAGCCAGCGAGCCAAGAGACATAGTCCCTCTAGCATGTCCTTGCCCTTCCACGACGCCTCCTCCCAAGGGAGGCGACCAAACAGATGCCTGAGCCACTTCAGTTGGCTTCTTTCGGCGTGGAGGAGCAACGACTCTACTCTGAGCTCCTCCCAGGTAACTGAGCTCCTCACCCGATCTCTAGGGTGTGCCCAGCCACCCTGCGAAGGAAATTAATTTCGGCCTCTTGTATTCGCGATCTTGTCCTTTCGGTCATTAGCCAGATCTAATGACCATAGGTCAGGGTTGGAACACAGATTGATCTGTAAATCAAGAGCTTTGCCTCCCGACTCAGCCCCTTCTTCACCACGACATTCCTAAACAGCAACCGCATCACTGCTGATGCTGCACCGATCCATCTATCAATCTCATGCTCCATCCGACCCTCACTCGTGAACAAGACCCTGACATACTTCAACTCCGCCACTTGAGACAAGGCCTCTCCACCTAACTAAAGAGGGGAGTCCACCTTTCTCCTGTGGAGAACCATGGCCTCGGATTTGGAGGTGCTGATCCTCATACCGGCTGCCCCACACTCGGCTGCAAACCACCCCAGTGCACGTTGGAGGTCCTGGTTTGTTGAGGCCAACAGGACAACATCATCTGCAAACAGCAGAGATAATATCCTGAGGTTCCCAAATCAGACAAACCCTCCGGTCCCTGGCTGCGCCTAGAAATTCTATCCATTAATGTAATGAACAGAAGCGGTGACAAAGGGCAGCCCTGGCGGAGACCAACATGCACCAGGAACAGGTCTGTCTTACTGCCGGCAATGCGAACCAAGCTCCTGCTGCAGTCATACAGAGAGTGGACAGTCCTTAACAGAGGTCCCTGGACCTCATACTCCCAGAGCACCCTTTACAGGGCACCACGGGGGACACAGTCGAAAGCCTTCTCCAGGTCCACAAAACACATGTGGACTGCTTTGGCGAAGTAGACCTTAACGGAGAGGCTGAGGAGTGTGTTCCCCCTGTAATTGGAGCACACACTCCGGTTACCCTTTTTGAAGAGAGGAACCACCACCCCAGTCTGCCAATGCAGGGGCACTGTCCCCCGACCGCTACGCGATATTCCAGGGAAATGTCACGCAAGACAGTCCTACAACTACTCAGGACGAATCTCATCCACCCCCAGGGCCCTGCCACCTGAGAAGCTTTCTAACTACCTCAGATACTTCAGCCTGGCTGATGGGCTTCCCCCTCCTAAGGCTGCAGACGGTTTGCCAGAGCACTCTTGAGGCCCACTGATAGTCCTCCTCCATGGCCTCTCCGAACTCCGCCCTGTTTGTGTGATTTGAGTCATTCTCCTGTTGCATAAACCCGGTTCCTCATTGGCATGGGTTTTCAAACGGACCACAAAGCAGAATTTTACACTTTACAATAAGTCATTAAGGCTGTGAAACAGCAAAGCAGGCCAAGATGTAACGCGACACAAACCTTCATTCAATTTCCAACCCTGTTTTATCAGTCCACATAATATGTTTTCAAAAGTTGTGCGGGTCATTAAGATACTATTATTTATTTTTTGGCAAGAATGTGATGGTCCTTTGTGTTATGTTTTTTCTGTGCCAGTTATTTCCACCTTGGAACTCTTCTATGATGGAAGATTTTGCTCAGTGCCTTTCTATTCTTCAATCATAAGCACTGACCTTGACTTGGCCAGGGGTTTTAATATAGTCCTGTTCTTTTTTGTCTTGTATCATCCTGTTATTGTGTATATTTGAAGTAATATTGATAGTCTGCCCAAATATTTTAGCTTACATCTTGTTTTCAGACAGTTTCTGTTTAAGTTCTTTATTAAGTCTCCAGGCCAAGCAGTGATAAAGTCTGATCTTTTTCAGGCAACATTTTCTGTTTGCTCAGGCTTTGTCTGATATTAAAACATGCTTGGTTATGTGAGAAACGTGTAACAAAAATTGAAAGAAGACACAAGGGGACAATTATTTTAGTTATGCTAGCAAGGCATATCTTATTATACCCATTTTTTATAATCACTTTGATAAAATTAAACTGACATCTTTTAAGCTTTCCTGTTAAGACATGTCATGATACTATAAATACAGTAGGTAGATATAAATGATATAAATTCAACATTTAATGCACAGTTTATACAAAAGTAGCTAAATTTGACAAGGGATAGAATTCAGCCTTTTCTTATTTATCATAACTAGAGCTGTACACATATCAAAAAAAGGGCAGGGGGAAGTTATCTGAAAGAGAAAATCTTGTTAAAAATATTCCGAAAGGTGTTCAGTCTTTTTGTCTTGTTTTTCCATTTTTATTTTCTGTTAGACCTGCCTAATCTGTGCTGTGTAAGCTTTTTTTTCCTTTTAAGGAAACAGAGAAAATAACCATTCCACAAATTACTGTTGTAATTGCAATTTTTCATCTAAGTCAAGGTACCCTCTCAACACCCACACACACACACCCCGACACCACCGCTCCCCCCACCATGTGTACTTGGTCAAGTAAACAGTTGGACAAAATTGGGATGGTACTTGTGTTTTCTCCAAATTGGTTTCTCGGTTTGTTTCATCAAGCTGGCCACAGAACACAGGTTTCCTCGTCTCTTTCAGACACACTACACTCACAAATTTATGGACATCTGCAGGCTGGTTGTGGATTTTGTAAACAAAATCTGTTGCACCAGCAGTGTAGCATGCATCAGCAGACATGTTTAGCGAACACTGCATACACATACATGCAAGCGCAAAAAAGGAAGTGGACTGAATGCAATGCGGACAGCAGGAGAGAAGGAGAAAGCTATTATACCTCCTGCCTGTTCTGCTGAAATACCTCTTCTTTCTTTGCTCATGTTGTTATAACTTGACAAAGCACAATGACTTCGCAACTTTGGTGCATTCCCTCTCCCACGTCAGCCTTAGCGTCGTCTGTCTGTGCCTGGTCATTTTGCACAGCAACTCACATCCCACTCAAACAGACAATTTGATCAAAAGGGACAAAGAAGTTGAAGGGGCTCTCCCCTAGTGACTTGGTTGTAACAACACCGCAACTAAATTTAATCACTTTTCTTCCTCCTCGTCTGTCGGCTGACTGCCAACGTGTTATCTCCACTTTATTCCCAATCAAGTCCTGACCTTGTTAGCTAAAATATGCCCAATTTGGTTTTGATCAGCATTCTGTCCTTGGGGCCTGAGCAAGATTAGCAATTGTGTTATTTCTGTATTTGTCGTTGAATTTATGGAGAACATGTTCACCCTTGGTGATTTGATATGCTTACTTTTCTAATCATGAAGTGACTGCACTTCGCAGCTCTGAATCAATAAGCTGGTTCTTCCTGGTGGGAGTGGGCCTGTCGGGAAAAAGTAACTAACAAAGTGGTAGGAATCGGTAAAATATAATTTTTAAATCTTATTCGATTCTAAACACGTAGTAATGTGTTATTCATTTTAACAAAATGCATAGACAGCAAAAAAAAAAAAAAAAAGCTTTATGTCATAATAGAAGTGATCAGGTAGAGCTTAGCCGGCCATTGCAGATGAAGTATGGAATCAGTTATAGTTCAAATATTAACAAAATATTATTCTACCAAACAATTTGCATAATCATGGGTTACGTAGTTACTCAAGTCATATGCTTGATAGACACATCTGTACAAAGCTCAACTGTAGTTGTACTTTTCGTGTTGCACATAAAGTCAATAACCTTTTCCTCATCAGAGACAGAAAATGGATGGAGACTAAATCAGGGCATGCTGATTTTTTTCTAAAAGAAAACCTGATAGAGTTTTGGAGTTGGTGTTCACCTTTTAGCAGACAACCACTACATTTTCACTTGTTAGAATGATTTGGTCATAGTGCATACTAGGGCTGCAGCTAATGAATATATTTTGCAAATTAATTAATCTATTGATTATTTTTTTGATTAATTAAACCGGGTGAAACTAAAACTTTTCCACTTGAGGAGTTCTGGATAGAGCATCTTGACAGACAAAAAAGTGTTTTTTTTATTTTAAATGTAAAATCTTTACATTTTGTACAGTTTTGATATAATTGCTTCTCTAGGTGGGTCGCTCTTTCAGCTAAAAGCATGTTTTAGAATCTCTACTCTGCAGCTAACAATTATTCAATTACTAAATAAGTTGACGATTATTTCAATAATCGATTAATAACGATTAATTGTTTCAGCTCTAGTGCATACTCAAATCCAATAAGGAATCTATGGAAAGATCTAAAGAAATAATAATGGCAGTTTATGCCTGGGAATAAAAAATATATTAGTCAATGAAAAAAATATAAATATTCATAACCAGTTTGTATCTGCAGACCTCACTGGATTTGTTTTGCAGCAGAGGCTAAGCCTGAGACCTTTTTTAATGCAGTTTGGTACATCCCCTTTGTGACCTAACTCAGCTCTTCTTCTAACCTGTTATATGAACAGTTAAGATGGAGGGTGTGTCAGAGCTAGACATTACACTGGATGATGGAGGAAGAGAACAGGATGATAGCAGATGAGGGAAAGGCAGTTTCAAAGATTGATAGCAAACTCTTAGCTCAGGTACACAGTCTGCTCAGAGACTATGGCACACAAAGCTGCTCTTCTGCAGATGAACAGGTTGACTGAATTGACAATAAAAAAAAGAATAAGCTTACACATGCACACAGAAGTGCTCATTAGTTCAGCCAGCCAGTCTTACTCACACTTCTTGGTGTGCTTTGAGAAGCGACCGTCCAATTATCCAACTGCAAAGCTAGCCAGCGGATCTTCTTAGTCGGCCACCAATTATTGTTCAATCTGATACAGCCCGGAGCAGATTTCCCTCAGAGTGCACACACACAAACACACCTAAACACACACAGACAAAGGTACAGCAAGAACTAAGCATGGGTGGATGATAGGCTACAAGGCCAGTTAGAACCAAGGTCGTGTCATTGATCTTTCAATAAATCCACCTTAAATTCCAGTAGATACAAATATTTCTATAGAATATAGAAATAACAGATACATGTACCAAAATGCAGTGCAATTAGAAGGCATCTTGGCCAGCAGAGAGGGCTTTTTTTTTTCTTCTTTAGGGGAATAAACAGTCCACATGTCAGCATTCCCTCAGGTTACTCTGTGTCTGCATCACAGACAGGCCCTCAGGAGCCTCAAATTATGAAAATGAATCTCCTTTGAGAGTGTCTATGGGACAGAAATCTTTATGTGTATATGTGTTGTGATTAGAAAAGAGTCAGAAACCAACAATGTCTGTGATAATGTTAGGGTGGGTGGGGGTGCAGGGGGGGTAAAAGCTTTTCCATTCTATTCTTAGGATACAGGTTAAAAATCTCAAAAGGTCTTGTATCTTATAAGGACTCACAGTGCACACTGCTTTCTGAAAGAGTGCAAAAGCACTGCTCCGAGCAAAGGTCCCGCACACGCTGTAGTCAAATATGCTGAACTTTGACCTTGGTTCACAGATGTGCAGTCAATAGAAAGTGGCAAGCAACGTGCACACCACATCCTGCGTAAAGGCCTTTAACAGATATGTTTGTATGATTTTTTTTTTGTGGGTTTGTCCAGCCTGGTAGAAAACCAAGCGGTGCAGCTAAGTTGGGATTTAAACAACTCTCCATGGACTGTATAAATTGTTTAATTTGACAGGCTACGATCAGGGTGTGTGTGCCCTTATTTATATTGTCATTTTTTGCAATGTCCAGGGAGTCTTTAGGGAGTTTGGTATGAAAGGAATGATGGCAGCTTGTCATTCTAAGCTACGCCCTAGATCCCTGAGGAAACTCTTACAGTATTCCTGTCTCTGTAAGGACAGTGGTTACAGCTGTTTTTTTAATGTGGTTAGGATAATTGAAATGGTTCCAATTTAATCACATTATAACTGATGAGTGACTACGAGGGTTGTGCTTCTGTGGTATAACATATTGTTTTCAGTATCTTGTTTGGTTTTGTGAATGTGACAAATCTGGGCATAATGCTTCTTTCTCTCCTTTTTTTTCTAGCTGCAATACATTCATTGTGCCAGGAGTGCACTATTACCTTAGTGCTGTCTTTAAATTTTACATTTTATATTAAAATACATACAAACAGTGTGTCTGAACAGGCTGAACTCAAGTGTTCTCATGGTATTACATGTTTCCTTTAAATTCTACGTGAAAGATATTGGTGAAATTGCCAAACATATGTGATTTAACTACATCTAAAGAAGACAATAAATTTGTCTTTGTATTAACTTTCTCCTTCCCCATGATGAAATACTGTATATATACTGTAATAGATAAGGATCCTGCATAACTATTCCCATGCTGTCTGTTAACGTGTACAGGTAAAGCCAACGTGAACATTCAGTGGGATGAAGACTCTGTGGAGAGCTTTCCACTGAAACCAGTGAGAATAGCGTTTGTTCTGGTGATTCATGGACGAGCTTCACGCCAATTCCAGCGTCTATTTAAAGCCATTTACCACACCTCCCACTTCTACTACATCCATGTCGACCAGGTGAGCCACGGAGAACCTGAAGCACAGTTTGAAACAGGAAAAGGGCCTCCCTAAAAGATTATTTCCTATGCTTGTTTCTCTATTATGTTTTTCAGCGCTCCAACTATTTGCACAGGCAGGTGCTGGCCTTGACTTCCCAATATTCAAATGTGAGGGTGACGCCTTGGCGCATGTCCACCATCTGGGGAGGGGCCAGTTTGCTGACCATGTATTTGCGCAGCATGGCTGACCTCCTGGCCATGAGGGACTGGAGTTGGGACTTCTTCATCAATCTCAGCGCTGCCGACTACCCTATCAGGTACTGTAATAGAGGACTTCACGAAACAGTTAAGGCCATATTCCCTCCATGTCGTACTGTTTTAAAAAGCACCAATCACAATTTCTTCTCCAATTTCCAAACTTATGTATTTTTTTAAGCTTTTACCCCCAGAGATTAGGTGAAGTCATTCTTCTTAAACAAAAGATATAAGGACGACAGTCAAAATGTTATTCATTTTCTAAATGATAAATGTTTCTATTTGGAGCAGAGGCTTTAGGATCATACTTGAAGCATTTAATAAGATAAGCCTTGCTAGCATAACTAAATATAATTTCTCCATGTGCGTTCTAAAAAGCAGAAAGTTCTAAAACAGAACTTTTCAGAATCGAATTCCCAATTGATGAGAAGACCATCAGTTAGTATAAAAGATGTCACAAGTACAAGTCGTCAACTACAAACATGTTTGATCTGTTTTACATGTTGTTTTCAATCTCTTTTAAGACTGATAGTGTACATTTTCTTTCCCAATCATTGTTGTTGTTTGTCTTGATTTCGAAAGTGGCCATTAAGGTTTGCTACCCAAGGTGGGGTCATGACACCCACTTTAGGAATAACTGTTCTAAAGGGGCTAGATCTTCACCCTGACATCAAGTTGTACGAAATGACAAACAAACTGTTCTAAATACAGCATTTCCAATGACAGAGACTGAAAGATCACAAGTATGAAACAGAGCTCCTTTGTTGCTTCAGTTCCACCTTCCAGTTATGAAATTGTTGTTCTATAGCAGCCTTCACTCATGAGGAGTCAATATATATATATATATATATATATATATATATATAAAATTTTGTACTATGTTTATTACTTCCTACCTAAATTATCTGCTGGTTAAAATTCCCAGTCATCCAGGTCATAGTCATTCCAAAAAAGTAAAAAGAACAATCTTTATCTCCAAGTTTGAAGAGGTTTCACTTCCCATTCAGGAAGCTTTGTCAATTCAAAATGTCAGAAATAGCGTTGAATTATTGAGTCATACAGTAGCACAACAAAGCCTTGTTCTTGCTTAGAAAACATGCAAATTGAAACGGAGTCCACCCCCTTTGGAATTGGGGTCATTTGGCTATATAAATATATATATATATATATATATATATATATATTTATATA